AAAATGTGATGAATGTTCAGTCTCTTCGAATATATCTTCTTGCTGAGACTATAAAACATTTGTTCGGTATAACAGTGGATTTTTAAAAAGCAAACGAGTACTGAGAAAAGTCAAGAAATTTTCTTCTATTTTCATTTGGAAAATGCACTTTCCAATTTTAATGAAATGCATCGTGTCATAATTCACCACTGCACAAGCCATCAAATTCAGCCAAGTGGTCATAAGTTTCCGTGTATTATTGAAATAGAAATTCATTCAATATCATTAACCTTGAAAGTTGCCTCAAATAACTCAAAAGAGTTGGATCACCTCACCATTATCGCAAACAAAATGTTCGTTTCTGCGTTGCATTCAGCGGCCAATCGACCAGCATATCTAATTTGTGATTTCAATATCGACTGATTACATTATAGAGCCGAAAGTTGCATTCTTTAGCATATCCAGAGTCCGATCAACATCACATTTATGCAGTAATCTGCTTTCACGAAAAGCAGTTTGAAAGCAATTATGAGGTATTTAGTTATGTTGTACAGCATTGTCGACGGCTTGTCGTATACGGAAAGCTTACATTTAATGAAGCGGTTATAGACTTATTTTTGCACAACGACTGGTCAAAGTGAAATTGAGCAGTTCAGTGGTAGAGTCCGTTAATGTGAACTGTCATGATATACTCAGTTCAGTGATCAGGTGCTTTAGCTATGTGATTATGGCAAAATGTGTCTGCCTGAACATGAAGCAGTCAGTTCGGATAAAGATGGTCGGTGAATAATGGACGATGATTGTGTTTGTTACGTTAAATTGCTCGTTGTTGAGTGCTGAAATTCGTTTTAAGAAGAGATGAATAGCGAAGTTGTGTGGATTGCTGAAATTTGAAACATGTGATGTGATGGCGTGTGCTGTTTGTTGAGCAGTGGTTTGGCGTGGCTGTTTGTGAACGATTGGGGCAACATTTGTAGAGTTGATTGTTCGGATGAAGGGTTGGAATAAGATAGCATGGCGATGGCAAGAAATGGGAATAAGAACGAGAAAATTCGATATTGGATTGGAAGCATGCGGGTTGGTTGTGTCCGCTAGATGCGACATCTCATCGTGTTGTGACATCTTTTTTTGGAGCTTTTTTTTGGCAAGGGTGCGACACATCGCGTTTGGTACACTGAAAACTTCTATGCATAGAACTCCATTATTTCATTTCATTTGGCATTATTTGTGAAATGCAATATTTGAATCATTAGTTGAAATGTTTTTGAGTTTCGTACTGTAACATCAAACGAAAATTTCCTTCCAAACATTAAATATGGTGCATTCCATCAAATTACGAACACGTCAACTAATGCAGCCTAATCTTAACATTCGCAAGCAAACAGTCATATCTATAGCCACTTAGTAATTAAGTTCCGCTAGATATCCGGTCGCTTTCATATTTCAACTATTACAGAAGTACTCATCACCGTCACTTACCTATCATCCTTGCACAATATCGTACAGCCTCTGTACTTGTACATTTCCCGACTTGTAGAAACACTTGAATTGAGAATTATGCTTAGGTTCGGTAATGTTTTATTCACAGAATTTATTCTGCAAATGTGCTTTGCAGTTGACAATCACCGAACCAGTTTTGATGTCGCGAACAACTACACATTACTATTAGATATACTATGCGTTGAAATAACTCTCCTGCTGAACTTTGCGCAAACAACCAATGACATTCTAAATTTTAGTCATTTGTGCGTGTGAGTTGTTGATGCGGATCAAGGAATGGAAGCAAACTGAAGACGAAATCGTTTGGAAATTAACTAATGAATTGAACGCAAATATTGATTTTGACACATAAAATTGCGTTTGCATGCGGCAAGGAAAGATGCGTATGCTGGGATGTGATGGTGATTTATGCATAATATCCACCTACATTTGCAAACATATGCTCGTCCAAGTTACCTATGGAATATGGTTTTGTTTGGATGTGATTTCGACTCGATGAATAAATGAATAGGGATAAGAATTGGAATTGATGAATGAACGAATGCTTGTACCTGCTTTGCTGATGCCCACTTGAAGCGAAACGATTGAAATTGAGCATTTTTGTTGCTTCAGTGAGAATTTGAACGAGGAAGAAAAAGGATAAGCAGAATGGGATGGGTGTATTGCGGCTTGTCGAGAACGATTGTCGAGAAAGTGGTTGAGAACCAGAGAAAACTGTTATTGTGTATTGCTGCAGCTTACTGCGCACCAAAAAAACATGCTGCACTATATGCGTCTCTCGGCATATATAGATGGTGTACTTCTTGGCTATAGCCTCATTGACTCATCCAGACTCGCCTCGCAGCATTCGTTCGGATAGAACAAACATGGATGTGAGAGCCTGCCTGTAGGCTGCTGTTCGGTTGATTGACTCGACTCTGATTCGTATCATAAAGCCGTCTCACTACCACCTCTCAATCTATTTCGCATCGCAGCTCAGCCCTCTTTGCATCCATCCGCCCGACTTCCAACGGCCTGCCTTGTCCATTCTCCTCCTTTCCTTGACAAACCAGTCTTCATGGATGCATTCCTGTGGACGGTTGCTTGCTGGATCATCACTCTTATTGGTGTTCCGACTTGAGCTCCTTCTTTCTATCACCAAGATCATTATCACCAAACTCTATTTTCATGATAGTACAAGTAACTCATCATTCATTACACATTACTCATCAATCTCTGAGACACTGTTCATTTCATGAAACTTTCCTAATCATTCTATTATCAAGAATTCCCGATTTCTTCTTTTTAGTAGACAGAAATCAAGAGAAAAGTTTTACTTCGCAAGCCGACCTTCGAATCGGTCTATTTTGCGGTCATGTCGAAGATTTACTTGAGGTAACATCATCATTTTCGCGACGCTAGCAACCTCTGATGGTCTTGTGTCATCACCGCTTAACAGTTGAGCTTTTATCTTTACAAATCATATAAATCACACAAAGTGAAGTTAATTTCAATCGCTGTCTGATGCTGAATAGAATAAGCCATTTTCAATCAAAGTACTAAAGTGACTTTGTTTCTGATGATTGATGGGACGATAGCCGTCAGTCGACTGACGTTATCAATTCATTTCCTGTCTTGTTGGTTCGTTTCGAATGTGTTTTTGATTCGTTCATTTCTGCAAATCTTTTTTTAACTCAGCCAAAACGCACAAATGGACACAAACTCCACAGACTAGTCAAATGCAATGTGTGTTGCTCGAATGTAATGAGAAAATGAATTTTCAATTGAGTTATTTTCTTGGATCTTTTTCGCTCCGATCTGGCTCAGTCCTTCAATCTCATCTTCAGTACATGATTAGTTTTGCAGTTAGTCGAGTTGGTGGTATTAGTATTCGGAATGAGATTACGACGAGGAAAGTGCTAATCTCAGTGGATTATTCGAAATTTGTAGAAAGAAACGATTTTTCAAACATTTTCACTGGTGTTTTTTGGTTGTTTGCGGACGAATTGGTCGCATTTAATTTCATTTGCTTGTCGAATGAAATTAATTCAAGCTGAATGCAATTTGAATCCTCCAACTCTCATATCCTCTGATGGATATTTCAGTTTTTTACTTTCTGCTGAAATCAAACACTGTATGTAGACATGTAATACATATATATGCACAATCAATGTTTACCTAGCATCCCCATTCTCATCCTCATCAATATTCATCCGATGTATACAAATATGTTCTACTTTTTAGCAGCGTCCTTTCGCCTTTATATTTGTTTTAGTTTTTACCTTTTATGAATAGAACTTTCATTTTCCGAATTCCGTTTCCATGATTGCATTCAGTGGATAGCAATTCTATTTGATTCAGTTCGTTTTCATCTGAGATATTTGCTCGCTGCTATCATGCAAATTCGTATAAATTCACCTGATAAATTCATTCGCGCACGTATCATGATCTATTGAGGTATATCGATTGTAAATGATTTATAATGAATACGATGAGTGATTGTCTGAAACGAAGTGATCACTCGATGTTACGGTAATCTCTAGTGCAATAATCTTTTCATAGCGCAACATCAAATGACTGAATTGGTCAAATTTTGTTGCGTATACCAATCTTAGTGTGAAAATATTACAGAAAAATAGCAGCTATCTGGGTCGAAACTTACTTAATAACATTTTGCATCTGCTCAAAACGCCGATAATGACTTTAGCTGATAATCAGATAACGGTGCATTATACAGGCCTTTCACTGATAAACATTCATAGATCTCGCTTTCGTTGTAAGACTGCGGCACAGCCCTCGTTGACGATGAATGAGTCCAATTTCATTTCGATATATAAGTATTCATCCGAAAATACAATCGCATTTTGCAAAATCATCCATTTAAAACATTCGACTGCAGATGTTGCTCATTATCAGTTCGTTCGAACGTTAATTTATTGCCTATTGAATAGCATTCATTGTATTTCTAATGAATATCTGTAAATTACCCCATCTGCATTCAGCACTTCTTTACGAGATGAATTTAATTGCTGCTCCATTCTGTTGTTCACATCAACATTCATGCAACATTTTCGATTTCTCAAAACAGCTTCGTACTTATGTGAAGTTTAACTGCTAAGCATTCAACCTAAAAAACGTTTCTTTCATATGGATTAAATTGTTTTGCAATGAAGGGCCATTTTGCACTCGCATGTTGCGAATGTTCGAAGGGAAATGACAACAACTGACAATATTTTGATCGAATTATGATCGAAATGTACGCATTTGTTATGCGAAAATGAGCATAACAAGTTAACAGTCACGTTTTCAAAAGTTTTTTTTCTGATATGAAGCTGAAATTCGCCACTGTTCTGCAACAAATCTAAATTCTACAAAGTTCATAATTAACTCATTTTCGAATTGCTCTAAAATTGCCTCAGTGTTACTTGATCAAGCAACGCACAACGGATGTACGAATACGATATGAATATACGAAACGCGTTTGTGATGTATCGAAACGAATGACTTAATGAGAGTTTCATTTGAAGAGAAGCAGCAACAAGATGTTCTCGGATGGAGCGCAGGCCCAACTCTCGGAGCCGATTACAAGGTGGGAGAGTGCCGATGGAGCAGATCAGAGCGTTCTGGCTCAACGATTGCGTTTTCCGTATGCCAGTAATGTGGTTGCTCCGAATCGTTTCATGAAAAGTGCTATGAGTGAACAGGTTCCATTCATTGATTCTCGATTCCTTATTTGGTAATCGTTCTCTCAATTTCCTCTCAAACGATTCATTTCATCAAAAGAAGTTAGATCTAAATATTCGAAAGGATGGGAAAACAATGAAGAAAAGAAAAAATGGTGGAAGAGAGGGGAATTGCTCTTGGGGATAAGGATTACTGTGACTGTGTTTGAGACATTCATTTGTGAATGTGTGTGAAATACTGTAAAAAGCAGCGAAATGAAGCAGTCGAAGAGCTCACTGACTGCACCACTTTCGGATGGTTTAAGTCAGTGCTTCTCAACCTTTTCCCCCTTCCCACTCCCTAAAAAATTTTGAGTTGTCCTCGCACCCCTTATAACAATATTCAAAATCACCTCGCATCCCTCACAACACCCACTCTGTATCTCTCATCCACTGCAGTGAGAGTCTGTATTGTAGATAAGTGTACACCTTCAGAGCAGTGATTCTCAACCTTTTTTGTTCCGTGGACTGCGTTGAAAATTTTAAGATTCCCTCGTACCTCCTACCTTACCTCGCACACCTCCCGCACTCCTCACTCACCCCTTCATAGCACCCACTTTCGCACCCCCTCTGACCCCATCCTCTCTCGGCATGCCGTCTCGGACCCCCGAGGGGTCCATAGACCTCAGGTGAGAAACCCTTGAGGATGACGAGAATTTTTATAGGCAACTATCTAACTAGCAAAAAAATTATGCCATCCAGTAGCACACGATTGCGTAGATACCATATTTAGGAGCACATCAGTGCCAACTTTTGTGCATTGTAGCAGTTCAGAAGCAGCACAGCAGTATGAAGAAAGGAAACGAAATTTTCATATGGTGATGAAATTAACATTGTTATATTTCAGTTGGCCACATTCGAACAGAATGATATGCAGTCGAGTGGTATACCAACTCGTGAATTGACGCACCTCTATGAGAAGTTTGCAGATGGAGGTTTTGGTATCGTTGTTACGGGTGCAATTATGGTGAATCAAGTAAGTTGTTTTTGATCGATGAAATAATCATTAGTGATGAAGATACTTCGCAGTAATGTCGTTCAAGGTCATACGACCGTTGCAGAAATGTGACGGTTCATTTGATAAGGTGAATGCACATTTGAGGGAACTTCAAGTGTCAATTTTGATTTTAATGAATGCAGTGGTGTTGTTGAGTGGCCGAATAACATCACAGTGACAATTCAAGTGAGTAGGTGACTGTAGAACATCGCTTCTTGTCACAGTGCAAATATGCATTCCGAGTTCGTTCACCGTCAGCATCTATTTCACTCAATTAATCCATCATGCAAAATTTCATTCTTCTTGCCTCTTCACGAACTCTGACCATTGACGTTCTCAGTGCTCTTTACAAAGTTCTATTCAGAGAATCGCTAGCAACATAAGATGCAATAAAATCGATAACAGAACAACTGTGCAACTAGCTGAGGAACCTCACATCAGTAATACATCAAATTATGTGAACATATTGAGAGATATGAACAAAACTAACAGAAATAAATTTAAAATCTCTGCTGCTACTTAGGAAACTTCCCGTCGAATGCAGCATCATCTTTCAAATAAACGACAACTAAAGTAGAGTAATGAACGAATACGAATCTGTTGGATTAGGAGAAGTGTTTTGCACATGCCGTGTTGTTATGCACTATAATGATTTAATGTGCTATGGTTGAAGGAGTGTTGTTAGAATAGTTTCGTGATACAAGAGCGAATGAAATATATCCGTGTATGATTATATCGATATCCTGCTAACAGCCGTTGATGGCCCAATAGACTAAGATTATTTCACGATATAGATTTTGTTCAAGCATGAAAATGTCGAGACAGATTCATTTCATTTACATCATCATTTTAAGCGGAGACTAGTCAACTCGTTCGATTGTGAGCTTAACAGCCAGCATAAGAATCGTATCAAGGATACTAAAGAAAGGACAATTAGCAAAACAAATTCACAAGGAACGATTTCTGGTAGTGAAATCTCATGAAGTATTGAGAAGTTTGCAAATTGAATATTATGAATGCTATCGAACAGGAATTGCACTAAATTGTTAGTCAACTAATTTGAATTCGGTGCTCCAGAGGCATTCTTGATAATTTGTTTTTAGAAGGACCTGGAAGCTCCAGGGAACGTGATAATTGATCAGAGCCTAGAATCGGAGGATAGGCGAGTGCTATTTGAAGACTGGACGAAGACTGCGAAGAAAAACGGAAGCGTATTCCTTGCTCAACTATATCACGTTGGTTTATAAGTGTTTTTTTTTGACATTTTCGCAAATTTTCTTGCAGGGAAATATCTAGGAATACAATAAACAGGGAGTGAAATATGTCCAAAGAGTTATTCAAGTTATCCACCACTCACTGATCATTCATTCGAGAAGTTGATCAAGATCACTGAACATAATTCCCTTTATTGCTCCATTCATTCCTCTCCATCATCGTTTTAAAAGCAGTTCATCTCCTCGAAAAACACTCACCTATAACTCAATCACATCATTATCTTCATAACATTTAAGCAAAGCAAATATCTCATTTAGGTCACAATGCACTAATAGAGCCTTACTTGCACTAACACAAGCTTTTGAACGATTAAATTTTTCTGTGGTTTTAATTCTGCGAGTCACCCTATAGCTGGAAGAGAAGTGGGTAGATAAGAAGGATAAGAAGAAGAAATAGAGACGAAATGAGAGGAGATTAACAATAGATGATTCTCTACGAGAGAAGAAGCTTCATACGGATTCTGTCATTCGAAATTCTCGATCCATCACAGCCAAACTTTATCGGAAGGAATCCATCACTTTGAGGAACATAATGCGAATGAGAATGAACAAGTGAATGAATCAGCTGCTTCGTTCTGTTTTTTTGGATAGTCAATATAAAAGGCGTCTGCTGGAGAATCTCTTGAAGACGTATGTGCGCATAATCACATCTGTAAGAGGATTAGCAGTGATGCACACACTTCTAAGGATTCCATTCAATTCAGTGCACTTAACGAAGCGAATTGTTTTTTTAAGAAACGATATAATGATGCATATGGGGACAAGATAGCATGGCTGCATTCACATCCTCACAATTATCTACAATTCAAACTCTAATTCCAACGAATTGTTAAAACAAATACGAAATTTGTGGTTGCTTCTCGTTTGTTTGTTGTTGCATTACACAAACTTCTCGTCGCATCACAACCAAACTTAATCCGAAAGAATCCATCACTTTTAGAAATACAATGCGAGTCAGAATGAATGAATCAGCTACTTACATGCACTGCAATTCTCTTTTGTGTTGTGGTTTGTTTAATGATACAATACAACTAAACTGCCCACAAACAAGCAATTTGTCCCATCCTCTTATGCACACATAAATACATCACCATCCTTTTGGTTACCCAGCTGAGGTTATAATTACGCAAATGAGGGCACAAATGAATTGGTGAGGGAACGAGTAACGCAATTTTTGGGGATAGATATTTGAAGTAAATTGTATGAAACGCTGTATAGGCAATTGCTCTGTGCAGTATTCACAGCTGATATACTTACATACTTTGCGAGGATAGCATGGATGTTAAACGGATTCATTCTGTTGGGAAGCGATATGTCGCAAGATGTCATTTTAAGAAGACGAATGTCTGTTCCATCATCGTTCTGTTGTTTTTTTTCGATAGTCAAGATAAAATGCGTTTGTTGGGGAATTTGTTGAAGACATATGCGCGCATAATCAAATCTGTAAGGCGATTAGCAGTGATGCACAGACTTTCAACGACTCCATTCAATTCAGTTCAATGCACTGAATGAAGCGAATTCCTTTTCTTTTCATTCCAAAGCTCAAGGAAACATTCTGATTGGAATGGATTACTACTATTGAACGATTATTGATCTGTATGAATGTATAAAGCATTCAAAGAATTGACTGAAATTCACGAATCAAAATTGAACAAACATTGACTCTGTTGAAAAAAAAAGAAATTGGTTCAGTAAATAATTCCGAACGGATGATTGATAATGTTTTCGACCGCTAGTTGAACAGCTTTTTTCTTGAAGAAAGTGATGCTCTAAAATTGATTGTTTTGCACTTTCGAAAAGATCATTCAAGCGACAAAATGCGTTAGACTTGCAGTTATCAATTGAGATGAAATTCCATCTCAGAATCATCCTCACATATCGTCGTTTATATCTGACTACTATAAATTCGTTTCCTTCAGCCGGGTAATCGAGCGGCAAATTTACCGAACAAGGTTAAATTTGATGCGAGTACGATAGGAGGTAAAAGGATCAATGCACTCATCGACGAATACGTGTATGCTGCCACATTCGCACAGCAATGCGGTGAGAAGTTTCGCTTCAGTTTCTCTAGTATCTTCAGTTTTCACATATGAACTAGAAGACACATTGAAGAGACCGCTAAGACGAAGGCTGCTAACCTGTGAAAGAATTATGATTTATCAAGATTGCATTTCGTATTATTGAATCTAAGAAAGTAGTTGATATAAACAGCATTTATTCCAAATTCAAGTAATTCTTTCCAGCCACTGCCTTTATCTTGGCACTTTTCCTCCATCTTTCTTCAGTTGCTATCCATCAACGTGATGGATGAGTTTACAAAAAACTTATCGCTGTTCATTTGGAGTTAGAGTGAGGCATTATGTTTGCTTTTGAGTGAAGAGGTTGGATGATTCGTTTCGAAGAAGATTTACATTTGTGACATATGGCATTAGGCTGATTGGATTGGAATTGTTTTTTGTTGAGCATTGGCAGTCGTTTGAAGAGGCGATTAAGATGAACTGAGATAGCTTGCGAACCCCAAATGCTTCTGATAATTGCTTTCTTCGCATTCATCAGTCTTGCTTATTTGCTCCTCTGGATCGTTTTGGTGGACAAAATTACGATCTGTGAGCAATGCATAGTTATTCGATTTGTATTCTGCATCAAAAAATATTGAAAATGAAAATATTCACGAACCGATTCGAATAGTAATGTGGACTGATTGATTCGCCAGGGTGGCAATTCTCCTGAATAGCTAGTTGCTAAAAACATGTATAGAAAGAATCAGTGTAGAAATGAAGTTGCTGGATGAATGTGTGCACGAGATGAGTGGTATTCGAAGGGGACAAGATATAATATGGTGATAAAGATATAATTAAACAATTTGAAGGGTTCGACGGTGTTGAGATTTCATGCGCGTACCATTCAGCGCTGGAGCAGTTTATCGATGCAAATACCAATAAACGTTCGGATGATTATGGTGAATCGTTGCAAAATCGAACACGTCTTCTTTTCCAGATCATTCACGCTATACGGTATAAATATGTTCATTCTCTTATCCGCTTGAAAATTCTTATTCTGAGTACGTATACAACTCATTTGAATGCATCGCAAAATGTAAACTGAGAGATTCCTAGCTGTTCAGTTGTTTCGATCAGCAATTACAAGTTCATAAATGACTCAAGCAAGTTATTGAAGATCACAGAGCTCAGGCTCTTTCATGGATGCAACTTGGGGATACATCCTATTCCAGATCACTTCAATGAAACTTTATCAAATTCTATAAGCATGTGAAAACGTATTACGAGTACCATAGGCAGTGTTTGATCAAAGCTAGTGCAAAATGGTTGTTTTTTTAAGGTTGAAAGTTCAACGGCCAAGCAGTTTTGTGATTGGTGTGAAACTATCGTCAGGTAGTTTCGAGAAGGATTATAAAGAAGAGGAATTCGAGCAGTTCATTCGCAATGTTGAGGTATAATTCGCAATGAATAGAAAATGACCTAATTTTTAAGTCGTCAGATTTGTTGCATCGTATCATCAAAAATGCGCTTGATAATTGTTGTGCATCTTTAATAACTGAAATGCGATGAGCTTGTAGAAAACCGGTTTCGATTACATTGCGATCAGCGGTGGTCATTTTTATTTGCTGAAAGGGATGCATGGACTCGACTCGAAAAGTGAAAAACACGAAAAATTCTATCAAACTCTTCTCCCAATCGTATGTCAATCAATTGTTTTTTTCATAAATAATAACAGCCATCAATCATGCCGAGCCAACGACGCATTCAGCAGTTATCAACGAATGAGCATTTAATTGTCTGAAAACAGCATTACCACCTAATATGCTATGCTAACACAATGAAATAAACGTCATCTTCAAAACGAATCCATCAGATGCACCTATTAGTTTATATGATATATGACAGCATGTCAGTATCAAGCATTATCCGAACAACCATCAAATTTTGCTCTACCCACAAACATGACCAGTACTAAACAGCGATCGTTCGTGACTTTCACCATTATCTTTGGCAGTTAAATAGATCATGAGAATATTCGATAAACCATTGGCATTCATATGAAAATTTTCGACACGTTGACAAACTACAAAACAAATATGTTTTAAGATCAAACGTAATCTAACAAGGACAAAGCTTTATATGAATGGCGGATTTGTGACTCTGGCGGATATGTGCGAGGCAATCACAGATAGATGGGCTGCCGGTGTTTCGTTGGGCAGGCCGGTCGCGGCTGAACCAGGTCCTTGTTGAATGCATACTTTGTTGATTTTCAGTTACTTAATTGAAGAAGCACTCCGCATGGTTGCGTATAAATTCGATTTGCTCAAAAAANAAAAAAGTGACTTTTATAAGATTTTGTTTGATCGACGGAGTTCACTTCTGCTGAAACGTTCTTTGATGGCTATAAATTTGCTAGCATAGTATTCTGTAATCCAGTTATAATTAAGAACTTACAACTTGTTTAGGATTACCCAAAAAACTTCTGGATGGTGAAGTGAAAGGTGCTGTTAAATCATTGATTGATCCCCTCGACTCAGCCACATCGTAAGTTTAGATCGTTATTTATGTTGTGATGTTTGCTACTGCTCTCTTTTCGACACAATAAAATTCGTTCAAGTGCGGATCACTTGAGTTGATCAAATGTTTCTTATGAAGAACATGTTAGGAATCGTTCAAACTTGTTCAATGTGTCCAAGCAACAGTCAATTAGTCATTGCTTTCAGGCAAGATATCGCTGGAACACAACTCTGGCAACATGCTTGGCAACTCCCCGTAATGGATGCTTCAAATCCGGAACATTTGGAGCAGTTCAAGAAAGATCTAGCTGCACATGAAGAAAAGAAAGCGGCCGCCGAGATAGAGCATACATTACCAATAGTTGGCTATCCAAAAACCGTATTGTGTGCTGAACATAAAGACGAACATCAGGCATCACCAGTTGCTGTCAGTGAAGCTGGTGCCAGTGTCAGTGAGCATCCGAAAGGAGAAGACGAGATCATATTACTGGATTCTGATGCAAAAGAACCGAGACATGAAGAAGATAACGTAATGACTGAAGAATACACCCATCACGTTGTCAAAAAACAGTTGGACAATGCTGATGCACCAAGCACATTACATGAGAATACTGTTGAGGATATTCTGCATACGGTTGTGAAACGTTCGAAGGATGACGAATATGAAAGCTTCGAGATCACTGAAGAAACTATCGAAAAAGTCACCCGAACTGACCAAGTTTATGCTGAACCTCCAAAAGATGGTGGCCACTACGAGGGTTCACCTCAGGATGAACACATCGAAATCACTGAAGTATCAACATCCAAAGAGCATCCAGAGGGAGTGGAATCTGAAATTGTTGAGAAACGCGTAGTGCACGATGATGCAGCTCCACCTCGACCAGAACAGCCGTCATCGGAAGAAACCGATGGATTGCAGGAAATTGTTGATAATGTTGCTGCAAAGGTTGAGGAATTGGCAGAAGACGTCACTGAGAGAGTTGAAGAGATTAAGGAGCCAATTGAAGAGGTTGCTCGCAAGGTGGTGCGTGACGTAGTCGGTGAATCAGTTGCTGAACCGGAGACAGTTACTGAAATTCACGCTGCCATTCATGAATCAGCCCCAGTTGATGAGTCAGCTTCAGCTTACGAATCAGCTCCAGCCCATGAAGCAGCACTAGCCCACGAAGTGTCGACGACTCATGAAGAAGCCGTGGCCCATGAACATGATAAGATAATTGAGGGATCTCCAGCTGATGAAATAGTCGCAGAACCCGAAATAACTAAAGACCTCGCTAGTGATCGCGTTGAACCTGTTGAAGAGGCAGAACATATCAGTAAAGAACAACAAAGTTTGGATGACAACGTCACGCCTGTGAGCTATTTGGTATTCTTGAATAATGATCGCGATGTAGTTCATGGAGAGGAACAGCCAACGGAAGACGTGCTCAGTCTTGAGGAAGAGATCCAAGTTGTAAAAGTTGGAGGACTCGCCGAAGCTGCTCCCGTTAAGGCCAGACCAGAGCATGACGAAGGAGCTGCAAAACCTATGGCAGAAAGTGAAGCTGTAAAGGCTGAATCTTTGCGAGATGAAACAGCAGACAATGAGCAGATTCAGAAAGTTGTATTAGAGAAAGAACATCATGAAATTGGTTCGCAGGAAGAACATCCTAAAGAAGAGGTAACAGAAGAGAAAGAGCATCATGAAATTGTTTCACAGGAAGAACGTCCTAAAGAAGAGGTATCAGTAGAAAAAGAACAAGATGAACTTGTTCCACAGGAAGAACATCCCAAAGAAGAGGTATCGGAACAGAAAGAACATCATGAACTTCTTTCACAAGAAGAACATCATGAGGAAAAGATATCGGAAGACAAGGAACATCATGAACTTGTTTCACAAGAAGAACATCCAAAGGAAGGGGTAACAGAAGAGGAGCAGGTTAAGACGGAGGATTCAACAGGAGAGCATCCTGATAAGATGTCAGTGGAGGAGTTCATCAAGAAGGAGTTAAGTAGTGAAGAGCAGCATCCCGAGACAACAATATTATCCGAACAAGAGCATCTCAAGGAAGAGATGCCGATGGAAAAACATCCGAAGGAAGCATCTGAGGAAGAATGTTTGAAGGAAAAGGTCTTAGATGATGAACATCCTCAAGGAGTATCAGAAGAAGAGTTCACTAAAAAAGAAGTAACCCATGATGAACAAACTCCTGCAGCTGAAGTATCAGAGCATGAACATCTAAAGGATAAGGAACATATTGAGGAGATACATCTTCAAGAAGAGCATTCAGAGAAGCAACCTGAAGAAAGTGAGGAGGTATGTGTGGAGAGTGAGGCGCATTTAGAAGGGAAAGGAAGGGAAAAAGAAACGAGCAATGAGATAATCAGTGGTCTTAATGCATATGATGAGCCGCTCATCTCAGGCATTGTTGTGGAAGGAACAGGTCACGAATTACGTCCTGAGCCTGAAGGGGCGGTTACCGAGGAGGTTGAGTACGTTGAAGCACATCCTGCCGAGTCGACGTTGATAGAGGAAGAAGATAAAATGGCAAAAGTGGATCATGAACCAATAAGTGAGCAAGATCAACAGCATTCAACAGGAGAAATGATCGTAGAAACGGTCGCTGCTCCCATCGGAAGCGTTATCGAGGAACATGTTGAGAAAATAACAAAGATCGTTGATCAGTCACCAGTTGGTCACGATGCTGAAGTTGAATCAGATGACAAATCTCATGAAGCTAAAATCATTTCGGATGGGAAGTTAACTGCAATGGAAGAAATGAAAAAGAGCGATGAGGATGGGAGTAAAGTCAGTGATAAAATAAGCGATTTTGTTGGTGGTTTGAAAGAGCACGTTGAAGATGCTGTTGACCACATTGAAGAGACTGCCAGCAAGATCACAACCGATCTTAATGAAGCCGTTTTCGGTGAATCAACCGAACAACATGAGCCACTTGTGGGGCAACAAAGTGAGGTGGATGGATCGCCGAAGCGACATGGCTCACTTTTTGGCTCATCTGCCGAAAGCGACAAACCAACAGTGGTTGAAGAGGCCACCGAAGAGCATATTGAAGATAAGCCTGAAGCATCGGAACGAGAAAGTGAATTCGATAAGGTTGTTGATATTGCAGGATCACCAGCCATTTCACATGATCAAATTGATGTCGCTGAAATGAGGCATGACGAAGTGAGTAAAGACGATGATACGGATCATATCACTTCATCAACAACAACTACAGCTGTAACGTCATCGAGTGGACATGATCAAACCGATGATAAGCCACAAGAACATGAACCTGTTGTTGTTGCTGCTGCCCCTGAGAAGAAATCACATAGTGGTTTCAGTTTCATCACTTCGGCGCTTCCAGATTCAGTTCAGAGTTTATTCTCGTCAAAGAAAACAACCACAACTGTGACAACTACAGAAATGACTGATGGTGATAAAACAATAACTGCAACGAAAACAAGCACACAGCAATCGTCAGATCCATCGAAGAGTTCGACATTTGGCGACGACTTCGTAAGTGACACAGCCGACGCGTATCACCGAGCATTCGATCGTATTGAGCACGACCTACGATCGTTTGAGTTAAGTGATTCCAAACAACCGTCGCACAGTAGCTTCGTCGAAACGATATCTTCGAAACAGACCATCGGTGGTTTATCTCCTGAACATAGTGATTATGATTCAGCACACCAATCAGTAACAGCCCTTCGCTCAGATATACTGCCGCCATCTACTCTGGATGGTAAATCTTCAGATGCAGCAGCTGATGACTTATTGCAAAAAGAATTTCACCATGAGAAACGTGTCATCATAGAATCGCATGACGGTAAAACGCATGGCCATGTGTTCGAGAATTCATCCGATCAAAAGAGTGCACATGAAATGGACTTCGAATTTATTCATTAATTCGTCAACCAATAACTCAATTTGATTAGCTTTTCTTTTCAGTTTACTTCTGGTCATAACAATAATGATAATAATGATGCTATAAATAAGATTCATAAGGTTGTGATCAACGTGATGTTATGAAGGCTTGTTGAAGCGTTGATGCCTCTAAAAATAGCATTGTAACAACAACAAAACATTTGATGTTGAGAAATAATCTTTTATTTTTTTACTTTTGCTTGCTCATTCACTATTTCAACCGTTTTTTTTTNTTTTTTTTTCATTTACCAAGCTTTTATTTTTTATCTCTTGTTTTTGAAGTTGATTTACTTCTTTATTCATATACATGCACACTCACGATTATATTATGTAGCAGTCATGACCATTCCTTGTTCATATTTCGATCTGATATCATCCTTTCCACATCACTTCTTCATTAATTGTCAACTCTTTCTCGCATCATACCCACCCAAAAATCTCGTTCTTCTCTCCTATACATTTCACATCACTTTGTATCATATGTGTGTGTGCTCACTACGGGATACTTTTCAATAAAATGTTCTTTAGACAAACGATACCGTTTTTGAACTGCGAGCAATATCCTTGATTTCGTTCGTCATCGCATACAATCCTCGAATTTATCTCAAATCGCAGCTTCGTCGTTCGGATGAATAGGAACGTTCCTCGAATTGATCTTCAGCTGAGATCAATCAGTCGTTGATGCTTGTTTAAATGAGATCAAACATTCAATAAAGTTGTTGTTTCGTCATCTTCCGATCAGTCACTAATGCAAACACATTTGAAAAGAAAATTTTCGTAATAAAGTTGATTATAAATTGAACGGAAAGTGATGTAATGAAAGCTTTTATGGAAACAGTTTCGCTTCGTTTTTTGATATTTATGGATCATTGGAATGAATATTCATCAAAATGTATCTAGTATGAATATATTCAAAATTATTTTATAAACACACACTATTCTATTATAATTTTAGATCTCAGGTCCGCACATTTAGTATCACTTTCGAAAGAGAACTGTTCCTTCTGACGAAAAATCGCATTTTTAATTCAAACTAATTCTTTAAAGATATTGAATGAATAAGTGGATTCAGAATTGAATGAAGTGTTTTTATCAGTCATGATCCTTATGTTCTGTTCGGAAAAGTAAGGGATTCTTACACTGTTGTAAGAAAATAAACGAAGGAAGCTATATTTGTGGTAAGAAAGAGGATGCAAATGATAAAGAGCCAATGCGATCAATCATCCACTGTCTTTGTCTTACTTAATTCATTTCATCGCAATGTTGCCATTTTGAACGCACATTAACGCTCACATAAACAAACATCCCATATGAAATGAAGCTTTATTATCGGAATCATTCACGTTATCGGCATACTTTCTAATTATTATCACCAATTGTAATTCTACTTCAGCCGTTATAATCAGTTACGACAATCACAGCAAAAACACGCAATTACGAAAACTCCGATAGAATATGTCAAAAAGCGTATTCTACATTCCTTTCTCACAATATTGTCTATTGTTCAACAATCACTGAAGCTTTGAAACTGAAGAAATGCCACACAGAAATGAAAATTTTCCACAGAGTTGTCCACAGAATGGTTTAAAACGTAACATTACTTGATATTGGTTGTTCACTTTGTCAATATTTGGTATAATAATGAATTCAATCCCAACCAAACTCGAAATCGTTATAGTCAATTCCCGATAAAAATAAGGTCAGAACATGGCTCAAATTAACAAACACAACATTACAAAATAGTTCAAATGCACTCTATTTTGACCTATAAATCAACAATAGTGCACAAAAATGGTAGAATGATGGTAGAACTCTGAATATATACGTTCATTTCATCAGTATAAAATACCCTAAGCATCTAACTTCGACGCGACACGATTGAACATCGGCTCGAGGTTAAAAAGCCAATTTCTTGCCATCATTTTGAAAGAATAATCCATTATGCTCTTTACGAAGCTTCAAAAATGTTTCAAATTGTCGTTTCGTAGATTCTTCTATCTGAAAATTGTGACTGTTGCAAAAGAACTGATAACGACGTCAAGCAAGACTCTAAAATTTCCGCTAGAAATTACATTCGTCTTGATCATTCATCAGAAACGGAAATCAAAAAATATAAGAATCAGCAGGCACAACATGTCAACATCTGTTGAAGACAGATGAAGAAACAATCACTTAATTCAGTAGAAATGAAACAACTTCAGTCAACATACAGTTAAGGTGGCATTCTTACCACCCATATCAGTCCTGACCCAGCCTGGACATATGGAACAAACCAAAATTCCATCGTTTTTCAGATCTGCAGCCAGAGTCCTCGTCAGCTGATTAAGAGATGCCTGGAATAGCTTTTAGGAAGATTAATGCCAATGAGATCACTTCATGCGACGAAGTTACTTCAAATATGTACGTAATCATTTAAAACACAGATAAGAATAAGCATCTCAACGATTCCTATAAGCTCGTTTCATTTCACTGTGCAATCAGAAGCAGTCACAGAGTGATTACTTTCGACAGTCTATATGGTATGGAGGGACACGATGCTGAGCCACTGCCGTTGATTGCAATTGAACCAAGGATACTGCTTATGTTGATTATCGCCGAACGATGTACACCCCATTCTTCAGTTGAATTATTCTTTGATGCTGTCTTCAGAAGAGGTAAAAATGCCTTCAAAAACACACATATTAGAATCACATTTGTTCATTGATAACTCTCGAAAACATCAACGGAAGCTTTCATTGTTCATTAATCGGTGTCTCGCCTCCACATTCGACACTTTGAGCGATTCAAATATAAAAATTGCGTTCCATTACTCCGACAATTAAGAATCGAGAATGTGAATAACACCCGTTGGTCGAAGAGATGATCAACGAAATGATAACAAACCTGAACAACCTTGACAACTGAAACGACATTCGTGTTTAAAACCTCTAGATAACTATTTCTATCCGCATCTTCCAACCCACCACCTTCACGTGATTTTATTCCAGCATTGTTTATCAACACGTTTAGGCCACTCTCACCATCTAATATCGAATCGACCTCAACTTCTTATTCCATTATTAAATTTGAGCGAACAAAAAATTGCAAAGCATTCAAAATAACCACTGGATAGTTGCATTATTCCGTTCCGAGGATAAATCACCAGGAAAACATTAATGATAAAATAATTTATTAATGAACTAGAAACTGCAAAGACAAAGATACGTCACGATTCCTTGACATTTTAAATGTTGCGTAGCAATTAATATCTACTATATATAACACTTGCAGGTAATTGTTAGTGATATAGTCGCCTTTTTAAATGTTAGCGAAGTATGCACTGCTACCACCCTAACCATTATTACCACAAGAATAAAATCGAAAATCTGTCTGAACTGGACGTGAATTTGAGGAACAAACAAACGAGCTTAAAACAGAAACTATACTTATGAGAATTTAGCAAGATATCTTATTTAATCAAAGCAAAAGCTAAGTTGGATCATTTTTAGCAACCTTTTTTTTCGCATCCGCAATCGAATCATCATTGTTCACATCCAACTGGACACAGTGAATTCTGCTGTTATTTTTCGATAATTCATTCAATTCCTTCAAATTGAAGCAAAACTTCATACATTGCACGTAATTTTTGAAATTCGGTTCAGAAAATGCGAAATACTTGCAACATCACAACCGACCGAAATAAAAAGTTTTTGGATCGCTGGTTGTTAACAGTTAGTCCCTTATTTGATACGTTCATTATTATTGGCTGATTTCACATTAAAAACTCATTCCTCCTTTTGAAATACCAGTCCTTAAATAGAACGTTCATGTGCGCCCTCAATGATGCGACGGCTTTCACCTGAGCTGATGCTGGGTTTCTTGAGCATGCAAATATATGCTTGATGGTCGGAAGCGTTAACCACTGTTTGACGAGGCCTAATCCAAGACCACGGTTCGCACCTGTTATCAGCACTGATAAAGGTCCAGACGGAGGCATCTGAAATATTGCTCAATTCTAGATTCATCATTAGCGCACTTCCATAAACCTTAAATAACGAGTGTTGATCATTGGCATTTAATGCGTACACATTTCCTGAATAGATTTTTGGTATACACATAATTCGACCAGTACGAACGGGGCGATAATTAGCCAAGTGACGGAAGTGGGATTTTCATTTGATATATGTTCAGAAACGGGAATTTCTCACCAATTTAACGGGAATGAATCCGGGCAATTCTTACATTATTTTGTAGCGCAGATCCAGGAGAACAAAACATGACCGACGGATTTGCCAGGAATCAAAAAATTCTCGAGGTTTCCGATTTCGCGTAAAGTGCAAGAACTCTAGAAATAATTTGAATTGGTACCCACCCGGCAGAGAAAATATCACTTTTGAAAATTATCAATTTTTGGAGAAACTTCGGAGGTTTGCCTGAAAGATTCTGGGGAACGGGGAAGTTTTCTTGTGAGATATTATACAAACCAATCCAACATTTAGTATCAGCTTGAATCGCAGGAATGAAAAAATTAAGCATGCGTACATTTGCACCTGAACGTGCAGTTGGTTGAAGCAAAATAAGAAATGTTCGCAACAGTGTTGCCATAGGCTCAGTAGCTTGCAAAGAGGATTTACATGCTAGCAAAAAAGTTGTATAAACGCACTATTAAAAAAATTGCGTTGCTGCCCACTATTGCCTATTGCTGCAACATTAAAACACACTATTGCTGCACCTTGTGCGTCCACGACTTTTCCGGGAATGCCAGTTTCCAGAAATCTTTCCGACAAACTTCCGAAGTTTTCCCAAAAAGTGACTATTATTAAAAATGAGGCACTTCTTTAGCAGAGGGGCCCCGGCACATCTTTAGCTGAAGGGCGCCACCGCGCGCGCGCATAGGAGCGTTGCTCTTCAATTGAGGAGCGCGCGTTACTTTTCAGGGGTTGGTAAAAGAAGCCAAATTGCACTTTTGAAGCGATGCGGTCAGGTAGAGCACAGAGAAAAAGAGATCCAATAGGGCGAATTAATTCATCGATGAGGCACAGGAATTTGACGTATTTCAAGGCTACACCTGACCTGAATGTGTACATGAGGTGTCATTGGGAAGAGAAATAAATTTTTCAAGTTCAGACAAAGACTGGCTACAAGAATTGGCTCATTTAGGGAGCAGTAAAAGATTAACCAGGGAAGTTTCAATCAAATAAAAGTGATGTGATCAATTGAAGTGGAAAAAGTGTCGGAACAGAGATTTGATCGGTCAATGCCAAGTAGTCCATTGGAAAGAGAATTGAATTCTCTACAAGCACAGAAGGTTTCAGGAAAATTCATCATTTAGTTTTCGAAAT